TAGACATTCTATTAACAGTAAGTAACTTTGCAACTACATGTCAATTAGCAGTTAGTAGAGTATTAGTAGACTGTCTGCTTAATATCTTCTAACACTTTCTTTGTCAACTTATTGTACTAACCCTAAACCTACCCTAACAGTCTACTCTGAGAGTTAGTAGACATGTAGTTGCAAATGAATGAGAATTAGTTGACATGTAGTTACAAAGTTACTTATAGTTAATAGAATGTCTAAAGTGGACTATCGAAATAAAGTGTAACCAATATTTTAATTCAAAATTGCAAATGTATTTGGAAACAAATATACATTTTTGTGTGGGTTATCTATCCATCCATTATATTTTGTTATATACATTTGTTATATTTTTTAAAAAGACAACTTCGGGAGGGTGGTGCTCATGTATGAGAGTGATTTCACACTGTAGCTCATTTCTAATTGGTAACTTGCTGCGTTACAGCCTTGCATTTCTCAATCAGCTCTTTAGTCAGTGCTGACATGGCTACTCTCTCAAAAGTCCCACATCAGCTGCACATATATTCACTTACTGGAAGAGTCATCATGACTTTTGCAACATCTCAATTTGACAGAAATGGAGGATAGGACTTATTGTAATATGTATTGTAATAATGGAATGTTGTTGATAAATGCCAGTGACATGTTAATGCACAACTACAGGAGGAGTGAAGTTTACATGGATACCATGACTGAAATACACTGAAATACTGCACTACTAGCTTAATAGAAGCGTTATTTATTTGAAAGAACCATAAACTAAATGCTCTGAAGAGATTCTATTCATTTAATTAAAAAGGAAAGTCTACACCTGTATCCGACATCGCCATCCAGTGTACTCTTAGTGTACTCACATGTGCATCAAGTGTGATATTTTCATACACGTTTCTATTTTTTAGGCATTTATAGTGTTTTTTTAAAGCTTGTTAAAGGGATAATTATTTCCCAAATATTTAAATACTGTCATCATTTTCTCATCCTCATGTTGTTCCAAACCCAAACGATTTTCTTTGATGCAAGGTCACTAACATGCCCTTTTGTTGTTCCTTGGAAGAAAGAGATTGCATGGGCCCCAGCGCAAAATTGATGTGTCCCTTCCACCCCCACAGCTTAAGAACAATCTTAAATACACTGGGGGGAAAAAGTTGTAAATAAAAGCTTATTGGAGTTTTACAATTACATACCATTTCAATTGTTCTACTTCAAAATGTCATGATTAATTCAGCACTTCTCATCTTGTAATTATTTTTGAAAAGTACTATCAATTTCTAAGTGAAAATTGTTTCAAAGGAAACTCTAAACTACTTTTTCCCCCCTGTGCACATTAAAATATAGCATTGCATTTTCATGTTTAAAATCTTGACCAAGCTGGTGGTCAAGGCATCATAGTTTCACACAGGCCACTGTAGGCGAATAGTTCAGTGCATTCCTTGGTTGTGATCCTTGGAGACGGTTCTCCTTGCCTTGGATTAAGACAATATAGACACATTCTCTAACAGGCAGATTCGTAACATCTCTAGTTGTAAAGCTCAACAATCTTTTGCTGCATATCAGACCTATATTCTTTGGTTTTACTCATTTGTGATGGATGATTTTTGCAACTACATGTCAATTAGCAGTTAGTAGAGTATTAGTAGACTGTCTGCTTAATATCTTCTAACACTTTCTTTGTCAACTTATTGTACTAACCCTAAACCTACCCTAACAGTCTACTCTGAGAGTTAGTAGACATGTAGTTGCAAATTAATGAGAATTAGTTGACATGTAGTTACAAAGTTACTTATAGTTAATAGAATGTCTAAAGTGGACTATCGAAATAAAGTGTAACCAATATTTTAATTCAAAATTGCAAATGTATTTGGAAACAAATATACATTTTTGTGTGGGTTATCTATCCATCCATTATATTTTGTTATATACATTTGTTATATTTTTTAAAAAGACAACTTCGGGAGGGTGGTGCTCATGTATGAGAGTGATTTCACACTGTAGCTCATTTCTAATTGGTAACTTGCTGCGTTACAGCCTTGCATTTCTCAATCAGCTCTTTAGTCAGTGCTGACATGGCTACTCTCTCAAAAGTCCCACATCAGCTGCACATATATTCGCTTACTGGAAGAGTCATCATGACTTTTGCAACATCTCAATTTGACAGAAATGGAGGATAGGACTTATTGTAATAATGGAATGTTGTTGATAAATGCCAGTGACATGTTAATGCACAACTACAGGAGGAGTGAAGTTTACATGGATACCATGACTGAAATACACTGAAATACTGCACTACTAGCTTAATAGAAGCGTTATTTATTTGAAAGAACCATAAACTAAATGCTCTGAAGAGATTCTATTCATTTAATTAAAAAGGAAAGTCTACACCTGTATCCGACATCGCCATCCAGTGTACTCTTAGTGTACTCACATGTGCATCAAGTGTGATATTTTCATACACGTTTCTATTTTTTAGGCATTTATAGTGTTTTTTTAAAGCTTGTTAAAGGGATAATTATTTCCCAAATATTTAAATACTGTCATCATTTTCTCATCCTCATGTTGTTCCAAACCCAAACGATTTTCTTTGATGCAAGGTCACTAACATGCCCTTTTGTTGTTCCTTGGAAGAAAGAGATTGCATGGGCCCCAGCGCAAAATTGATGTGTCCCTTCCACCCCCACAGCTTAAGAACAATCTTAAATACACTGGGGGGAAAAAGTTGTAAATAAAAGCTTATTGGAGTTTTACAATTACATACCATTTCAATTGTTCTACTTCAAAATGTCATGATTAATTCAGCACTTCTCATCTTGTAATTATTTTTGAAAAGTACTATCAATTTCTAAGTGAAAATTGTTTCAAAGGAAACTCTAAACTACTTTTTCCCCCCTGTGCACATTAAAATATAGCATTGCATTTTCATGTTTAAAATCTTGACCAAGCTGGTGGTCAAGGCATCATAGTTTCACACAGGCCACTGTAGGCGAATAGTTCAGTGCATTCCTTGGTTGTGATCCTTGGAGACGGTTCTCCTTGCCTTGGATTAAGACAATATAGACACATTCTCTAACAGGCAGATTCGTAACATCTCTAGTTGTAAAGCTCAACAATCTTTTGCTGCATATCAGACCTATATTCTTTGGTTTTACTCATTTGTGATGGATGATTAAGGGAATTTGGCCTTTTTGTTGCCTCATATTTGTACTCCTGTGAAAAAGCCATGACTGGATAATTTGATGTTCCTAGTCACTGGTGTGCTAAAAAAAAAATTTCATAATTTCCTCACCACTTTCAATTGTTTTAATTCAATGAAAGGATGGATTTTTGTGAATTTAAATGTAAAATCAAAAGGATAAACAATGCGGAATAATTTTCACAGCCTTCTTTGCATATATTTACCAAGGGGGGCAATAATTCTGACAACTGTATACAGGTATAGTGAGACTGAAATGACGTTTCACTGCCTTGTAAGAGAAGAGTTCTTTGAAGAGAACACAATAACTAGCTCTACGAGGCTATGCTGCAGAAAATACCAAATTCAAATACCTCCATTTCAGTATGCAAAACTTGCTTCTCTCGCGCCAATCAACAACCACTAAAATTGGAATCCTGCTCTGTTATTCTTGTTCGATATAGTTTTAGTTACATCTTATCTGATATCCTTGTTGCAGCATAATTGTAATTTTAAAGCATGTACTCACTATAGAGTTAGGATTAGTTGCTTTCATATGCATCATTTACGGTTCTTGCTATAGTAAGTATATGTAATATATACTGTACATAACAAGGTCACTGTAAAATAGTTACCACAGTCCGACTCAAAAATGAACAAAATAACGTTAAACTAAGATTATTCCATGTTTGAGTATAGTGCAAGATGTGCTGTAGACCGAACACTTGTAAACAAAGAGTAAAAGTAATTTGTTTAATAAAATATGCAGTGTAAAACAATGCCTAAATCATAACTATATGAACAATTTATAATAAATAAAAATAAAAGTCAACATCCTTGTAGCCGAGAGGGAAAAAACAGACAGAAATAAGACTCCTAAAAATATCATACAAAGTTTTTGAAAAATCTGTGCTTTTCAAAAATGGTATATTTACATTGGCATTAATGTTCTTGCTATAGTAAGTATATGTAATATATACTGTACATAACAAGGTCACTGTAAAATAGTTACCACAGTCCGACTCAAATGAACAAAATAACGTTAAACTAAGATTATTCCATGTTTGAGTATAGTGCAAGATGTGCTGTAGACCGAACACTTGTAAACAAAGAGTAAAAGTAATTTGTTTAATAAAATATGCAGTGTAAAACAATGCCTAAATCATAACTATATGAACAATTTATAATAAATAAAAATAAAAGTCAACATCCTTGTAGCCGAGAGGGAAAAAACAGACAGAAATAAGACTCCTAAAAATATCATACAAAGTTTTTGAAAAATCTGTGCTTTTCAAAAATGGTATATTTACATTGGCATTAAAGATTGCTCTAAAGCATGAATGATAAAGTTTACTACAGGTAGCAAAATGTTGAACGAATGCTCATTTTTCCAAAAGCATTACATAAAATATACAGGAAAACAGCTTTGGACAAACTTGGACAACCATCTTAAACCGTATTATAGCTTTTACCTACCGAGCAATCAGAGCAAATATTGAACGTCTTTTCAGTTGGGAGCTTCATTTAAAGAGGGGATGAGGAGGGAGGGAGAGAGAGGGAGAGAGAGAGAGAGAGAGAGAGAGAGCGAGAGCGAGAGCAAAAAAAGGCAAGTTCCCTCCCAAGACTGCTCCCATAAAACACTTCAAGTCAAAGAACCTTTGTTTATGCTGATGCATGAACAGTGCCATTACTCCAGTTCCAAATTTAAACATAGTATGGAACTCACCAGAACTTAAATTGAAGTATAAAATAGTCTCATATTTTTGCACTTTTAAACCATCAATGTGCCTCTTGCGCAGAGGAGGAAAAAAAATAAAAAATCTTAATTCTCTCCTCCTCCAAACATGTCTGCCAGCTTCTTAAAGCGTGGGCCCCACTCATTGAGGAAGTCATAGTCTTGGTCATGTCCTGAGCTGGAAGAGTTGAGGGAGCTGAGTGAACTCGCATCGGAGCCTCCTCCTTCATAGTCAAACACCAGGAGGGAGTCATATGGGGGTGCTGTGGGATCGTTATCCGCAGCCTTCAAATTCTGTGGTACAAAGAGTTGTGTTATTGTCACACATGCATATTGTTATAAAAATATATATGAAACAGACTTTAAAGTATTAGTTCACTTCCAGAATAAAAATTCTGATAATTAACTCACCCCCCATGTCATCCAAGATGTTCATGTCCTTCTTTCTTCAGTCAAAAAGAAATTAAGGTTTTTGAGGAAAACATTCCAGGTTTTTTCGAAATCCTGGAATGTTTTCCTCAAAAACCTTAATTTCTTTTTGACTGAAGAAAGAAGGACATGAACATCTTGGATGACATGGGGGTGAGTAAATTATTGGGACATTTTTATTCTGGAGGTGAACTAATCCCAGGGTTTCTGCAGACATGAACAAGTTAAATTTAAGACTTTAAGACCTTTTTAATACCACCTTATATGAAATTTAAGACCTAAACCTGTAATGGAAATACACATTTTATTACATTGTGTATAAATTAAAAAGAAAACAAAATATCATTGCTGTAATAAATTATATTACTACGATATACAGTGAACTTTTCATGTCAGCAGACAATATTCCATACAAAATATCCCCGCAAAATAACTGCATCACTGAGATTTTTGGTGGAGTAAACAATTTATTCTGAAGCAATATTTTCATCAGTGTTCTATCAGCTTTTACATACTTAAATCTGCATATTTTTAACCTTTTTAGATGTATGCATCATCTTACATGTCAAATTATTACAATTTATCAATAAATTCAATATACACTATACACTCATAAAAATAAAGGTGCTTCACGATGCCATAGAAGAACCTTTTTGTCTGAATGGTTCCATAAAGAGCCTTTAACATCTGAAGAACCTTTCTGTTTCACAAAAGGTTCTTTGTGGCGAAAGAAGGTTCTTCATATTACAAAAAGGTAAGAAAGAGATGGTTCTTTAAAGAACCATTGACTGAATGGTTCTTTGTGGAACCAAAAATGGTTCTTTTATGGCATCGCTTGAAGAACCTTTATTTTTAAGAGTGTAGGGCTGCTACCAGTCAGATTAAATAATTTACACTGCAAATAACAATAATTACAACTGCAATAAATAATGTTATGAGATTAGTGTTTTAAATGCATTTATGAGTATACAAATAAGAAATGTTGAGGGGGAAAATGCATACTTTTCAACATACTTCTCAACTGAACTACCAGTAAGTGACGGTAAGTCACTTAATGAGTGAGTATTGAGTCATTCATTCAACTAATCTGAGTGTGTTATCATGCTGGTATCTTCAGGACTTTTGTGGACAGCTGACTCCTAAAGTTTTTGATATTCTTCATATTATGTGTGGTGGTCAGATAGAAATGAATCTTTTCAAATAAGTTTAAATAGATTGTTACCTTTTATGGGCATTTTACCTTTATAAAGCCATTTTTCTATAAGTCTGCATTATCTTTTGAGTCAGATTCGTACATTTAATCAGTGAATTACAATAATAAGACATTTGGGCTGTTACCAAGCAAATGAAATCAGTATCAACAAAATGCATCTTTGCAATCCAGACATAAGCTGCACCTTAATTGTCATTTAGATGTATTTACACACAGTTTAATGCAGGACATGAACGCATTTAACCTGCATTTACAAATGCATAAATAATGTTTTGATATATTTAACAAATTGAATACTGATATTTGAAATTATTTAAAAAAAAAAATGAAAAGATACTTTAAATGTGAAATTAAAACCGCCAGCAGGTGGCAGCAAGTCACTGTTAAGAAGTGAGTCATTGCGATTGAACCGAATAATTTAAACAGTTGATTTATTCAGTAACGAAACACCGTCATGTTGCTCAGACGCGCAAAACAGCGCTGTGGCTTTGTTTGGAATTATTTTTGTTGGCGAAATAGTGCAAAAACAGGCAATATGGGGTCTAAAACGCAAGTCTCTTAATAAAACTTCTAGTTTATTGAACGGTTGTAAAAAAAAATCAATATTACATTTGTATATGGTAATTTTTGGAGAAAAGAAAATGGCACTCTTCCATGTGAACTTGATTAACTATATGAAGTGGTATAAATATACACATTTTCTGCCCCCATGTCTTGAATTTGTGATCATTTTGAATGTATTTTAATAGACTGAATTATGCAGTGAAAGAGCGCACTAGACTTCACGTAGACTGCACTGTTTTGAATGTTTTTTTGCATCGTGAGAATATTGAGCAAAATAGCTCACTTGTCATGGTGTTATTTAACTATATAATGTTATGAATAAACTAAACATTTTGAATTTTTACCTCAGTGTGTTTCTTCTGAATTTATGCGTGTTGTCACGCTCATTTGTTCTGAAGTCTCGAGACAAACAGAGTGAGCCTCAGCGTGAGCTTGTATTCTGTATTCTGCTAACTTACTCCAATTCTCTCTGATGACGCAGTAACTTACCACGGGGAAGAAAACATCTTCGGTCTGTCCAATGATTGTAAAGCCATTAGGTCCATCAGACTGAAGATATTTTAGCGGTAATGAATAGTTAAGACGTTTAGCCACTATCAAACATCCAGCCGTTTTAATGTGAAAGAATGAGTTGAATTTCTTAAAACATTTGTAATTGCTCACATGTGTCATTCATCGAGGTGGACCAGTTTTTACTGGTTTCTCCTTGGGCCTCAACGCTAAAGGGTGCACCAAAAGGAGGTCCATCTTTGTCCGTTATAGAGAGAAGAACTGGGGCTGATCCACGATTACAAATTTCTATATTCCTTTCATTAATAATAGGAGCGTTGTCATTTACATTCTCCAATTCAATTATCAGGGTTCCTGTGCCAGTCGCTGGAGATGTTGCTGCACACAAGCACAAACATATTAGAAAAAGGCTATGCTGCAAGAATTCCTTCTACCTAGAAAAACAAATTACCATCATCATCCACGGCCAAAATGATTGCTCTGTATTTGCCATCTTTGACATAAACAGATTCTCTATCCATAAGGTTGCTGACTTTAATCACTCCCGTCTCTGGAGACACACTTAACCAGCCAGCATCATCATCATCACCCATTTTATAACTGGAAAGGGGAAGAAAAAAAAACAACAACACTGGTTAAAACTACAAATGTTCATCAACAACAACTTAATGTTGATTTGACCCGTCTTGCCTGAAGGTTTACAAATTTGAAGTTGAAAGTATATACAGAAATGCTGTGGTTTGAAGGCTGGGTGGAAGAAATCTGATAGTGGGCGGGATATAGGCCTTGCTAGGTAGCTGCTAGACAGTTGCTAAGGTGGTTCTCAGTAATAATACTAGTGAAGTGAGGCTAGGGTAAGGGACAGCCAGATGCTTTAAAGTCTTCAATGTGTTCAAACCTTAATTAGAAAAAAACAGATTAAATGAGGGCTGCTCGATTATGGCACAAATCATAATTCCGATTATTTTGGTCAATATTGTAATCTCGATTATTTAACACGATTATAAGTGGACCACATGCCCAAAACTTTATACAAGTGATTTGTTTAAAGATAGATATATCACTTTAAGAGCCGCACGGATCCAATTTATTGTTACACACGTTTTTTCATTCTCAACCGTTTACGTTGATATACTACATAACCGACGAGGGTTTGTGAGAATAATCACAAAGCGCCGCATTTTGACACATTTTTTGCATGTATTTGACCGTTTAGGTGCGCACCTTAAAGGTGCAATAGGAGATCTTGGAAAATGCGAACTTTAGCCTGATAGCACTGAAAGCGAACTTCCCACCCTTCCTGCAATCGCCGTCCAAAGCCACGCCCCCTGAACGCATTTACACTCACAGACCAGAGACAACATTACTACAATAGGCTACATCAGGTTCCCAATTCCAGCCCATGTTCTGAAGTGAAGTAAACTTCAACGGATTTCCCCTGCTCAAGCTCTGTATTTGCCATCTTTGACATAAACAGATTCTCTATCCATAAGGTTCCTGACTTTAATCACTCCCGTCTCTGGAGACACACTTAACCAGCCAGCATCATCATCATCACCCATTTTATACCTGGAAAGGGGAAGAAAAAAAACAACACGGGTTAAAACTACAAATGTTCATCAACAACAACTTAATGTTGATTTGACCAGTCTTGCCTGAAGGTTTACAAATTTGAAGTTGAAAGTATATACAGAAATGCTGTGGTTTGAAGGCTGGGTGGAAGAAATCTGATAGTGGGCGGGATATAGGCCTTGCTAGGTAGCTGCTAGACAGTTGCTAAGGTGGTTCTCAGTAATAATACTAGTGAAGTGAGGCAAGGGTAAGGGACAGCCAGATGCTTTAAAGTCTTCAATGTGTTCAAACCTTAATTAGAAAAAAACAGATTAAATGAGGGCTGCTCGATTATGGCACAAATCATAATTCCGATTATTTTGGTCAATATTGTAATCTCGATTATTTAACATGATTATAAGTGGACCACATGCCCAAAACTTTATACAAGTGATTTGTTTAAAGATAGATATATCACTTTAAGAGCCGCACGGATCCAATTTATTGTTACACACGTTTTTTCATTCTCAACCATTTACGTTGATATACTACATAACCGACGAGGGTTTGTGAGAATAATCACAAAGCGCCGCATTTTGACACATTTTTTGCATGTATTTGACCGTTTAGGTGCGCACCTTAAAGGTGCAATAGGAGATCTTGGAAAATGCGAACTTTAGCCTGATAGCACTGAAAGCGAACTTCCCACCCTTCCTGCAATCGCCGTCCAAAGCCACGCCCCCTGAACGCATTTACACTCACAGACCAGAGACAACATTACTACAATAGGCTACATCAGGTTCCCAATTCCAGCCCATGTTCTGAAGTGAAGTAAACTTCAACGGATTTCCCCTGCTCAGGGAGTAGGAAGCAATGAACTCTGTGTAGGGATCATATCGATCGGAACACAGTTCATGCACGTAGCTCACTACTAACGAGCTGGCGCGAGGACTGGATTAACCGCTGGGCTACATCATGTGTCATTCACCGGTGAAAAATCTTTAAAAGTACTACAATAACAGGAAGGAAGATCGGCTTGTTGATGTTTGCCTGCCATCCTCGCTCTGTCTGCACAGCGTGCGAACGCGCTGACGACGTATTCGGTCTGCGCGAACTAGGTGCGCAGAGGTATGATAATACATACGTTGACAGGCAGGTAGGAAAGCATATTAAAACGCTCAGACCGAACGTTTTGATTAGATGAACATTTCTTGATCCTACACCTTACACAGAATATATAAATACAGACAAATACATTTAGACCACTTAACTTAATGATTGCTATCGGGATGTGAAGAGTATATTCCTTTCATTAATAATAGGAGCGTTGTCATTTACATTCTCCAATTCAATTATCAGGGTTCCTGTGCCAGTCGCTGGAGATGTTGCTGCACACAAGCACAAACATATTAGAAAAAGGCTATGCTGCAAGAATTCCTTCTACCTAGAAAAACAAATTACCATCATCATCCACGGCCAAAATGATAGCTCTGTATTTGCCATCTTTGACATAAACAGATTCTCTATCCATAAGGTTCCTGACTTTAATCACTCCCGTCTCTGGAGACACACTTAACCAGCCAGCATCATCATCATCACCCATTTTATACCTGGAAAGGGGAAGAAAAAAAACAACACGGGTTAAAACTACAAATGTTCATCAACAACAACTTAATGTTGATTTGGCCAGTCTTGCCTGAAGGTTTACAAATTTGAAGTTGAAAGTATATACAGAAATGCTGTGGTTTGAAGGCTGGGTGGAAGAAATCTGATAGTGGGCGGGATATAGGCCTTGCTAGGTAGCTGCTAGACAGTTGCTAAGGTGGTTCTCAGTAATAATACTAGTGAAGTGAGGCAAGGGTAAGGGACAGCCAGATGCTTTAAAGTCTTCAATGTGTTCAAACCTTAATTAGAAAAAAACAGATTAAATGAGGGCTGCTCGATTATGGCACAAATCATAATTCCGATTATTTTGGTCAATATTGTAATCTCGATTATTTAACACGATTATAAGTGGACCACATGCCCAAAACTTTATACAAGTGATTTGTTTAAAGATAGATATATCACTTTAAGAGCCGCACGGATCCAATTTATTGTTACACACGTTTTTTCATTCTCAACCGTTTACGTTGATATACTACATAACCGACGAGGGTTTGTGAGAATAATCACAAAGCGCCGCATTTTGACACATTTTTTGCATGTATTTGACCGTTTAGGTGCGCACCTTAAAGGTGCAATAGGAGATCTTGGAAAATGCGAACTTTAGCCTGATAGCACTGAAAGCGAACTTCCCACCCTTCCTGCAATCGCCGTCCAAAGCCACGCCCCCTGAACGCATTTACACTCACAGACCAGAGACAACATTACTACAATAGGCTACATCAGGTTCCCAATTCCAGCCCATGTTCTGAAGTGAAGTAAACTTCAACGGATTTCCCCTGCTCAGGGAGTAGGAAGCAATGAACTCTGTGTAGGGATCATATCGATCGGAACACAGTTCATGCACGTAGCTCACTACTAACGAGCTGGCGCGAGGACTGGATTAACCGCTGGGCTACATCATGTGTCATTCACCGGTGAAAAATCTTTAAAAGTACTACAATAACAGGAAGGAAGATCGGCTTGTTGATGTTTGCCTGCCATCCTCGCTCTGTCTGCACAGCGTGCGAACTCGCTGACGACGTATTCGGTCTGCGCGAACTAGGTGCGCAGAGGTATGATAATACATACGTTGACAGGCAGGTAGGAAAGCATATTAAAACGCTCAGACCGAACGTTTTGATTAGATGAACATTTCTTGATCCTACACCTTACACAGAATATATAAATACAGACAAATACATTTAGACCACTTAACTTAATGATTGCTATCGGGATGTGAAGAGACTTTCAACCAGCATAACAAAAAATGTTTCTGAAGACAATCACCTATTGCACCTTTAAGCTAAAAGTTGACTTTACACATCCATATTCTGTTCCATCCGAGCGCATGCACAGAAAGCCTCCTGAGGATCAGCGCAAGTGCTCTTTCGTGCTTTTAAAAACATTACTAAATCGAATCAACTTTGATAAATCAAGCATGTCCCATTTTGCGAAAGTCACGTTACATGATTTTACAGATTTGCATGTGAAATTGGGCTTTTATGGAGGAGCAAAAGCGGAATGGGGCACAATAATTGTTTTCTCGATTATTGTATTTTCATAATCGTTGGAGGCCGAAATCGAAACCATATTTTGATTAATTGCACAGCTCTAGATTAAATAAATTTTTTTAAAATTGAATTTATGAACAGTATATCAATGCTGATATACTATCAGTGCTATTATATTTATTGGATTTTTATTCACTATAAGACCTGGTAGCCTCTAGAGAAATCAGTCAGAAAAGGAAACAAAAAAAAAAAAAAAATATATATATATATATATATATTACTTACGTTATCTTCTGTGATTTTCCAGTGTCTGGATCAGTGGCTGTATAAGCAACCAATTCAGTATCAACTGGTGAATCTTCAGATTTGAAAATAACCTTCTCCTTTGGATTAAACTCGGGAGGCTCGTTCACATCTTCTACATTCACCGTGACTGTGGCAGTGGAAGTGGGCAAAGAACCAACAAAAGGATCATCGTTCTCAACAATCACAGACAGAACGTATTGCTTGGTCTTCTCAAAGTCCAGGGGCTAAATAGAAAAGAAAGCATATTTTACTAAGGTATGTCATCACAATTAATTCACTGGACAAACATATGAGCATCACACAGTACCTTTACAGTGGTGATGATGCCCTCCAGCTGGCTGGGTCCAGTACTGACACTGAAAAACCCACCCTTGTCACCACTAATAATACGATACTTGGTTGACCAGGAAGGTGATCCAACTTCATCTCCATCGGTAACTGCAAGTTTAGCCACTACAGCCCCTACTTTATTTTCTGGAACGGATACGGTGTGCTAAAATAAGGAGATGTATGGTATATGGATTAAGTATTAAGGAGTTCAAACACCTATAAATGGTATAGTAAAACACTCTGAATACATAAATATACATTACCAAAGTTTGCTCAAACTGTGGTGGGTTATCATTGCTGTCAGTAATTGTAATAACAGCTGTGCCAGTGGTTGCCAAACCATCTCCTTCCGTGTCAGCAGCCACAATTAACAAAGTATATCTGGGCCATTGCTGAAAAGGAAGATAACTGATGAGTTCGTTTACATTAAGTCATTTTTTCACCACTTTGAGATTCATCAAACGTCACTTCTCACCTCTCTGTCCATGTCTGGTTCTCGCACACGAATGGTTCCAGATAAAATGTTGATATCAAACATGTTCGGTTTTGGAAATTGTGGCTCTTGGCTGACAATTGCATAGCTGACTATACCGTTGTTCGTATCTGGGTCATCTGCATCAGTGGCTGTGACCGTCATAAACTCATAATCTTTGGTAAGGGAATAAAGACTAATTAGGTGGTAAAAGCTGCAGAGGCATTTGAAGAGAAAAAAATAGCTAAAAGCTATTTTACTGAGAAACTGCACCATACACCTACCTTTTCCAGCAGCTTCATGAACATATCCATTAAAAGGATTTTGAGTAAACACAGGCCTATTATCATTTTGGTCGATCACATTGATGACAATTTCCATTGGTTTTTCTGCTACATTAATCACATCAAGTGCTGTAGCATGAGCTATAAGCTAAAGAAATGAGAATAAATTTGGGCATGTTAAGGGGCAAATACTGAATGAGTTTCTTTAAAGTATTTTAGTCCATGTCTATTAGCTTTGAGACACTGATATGCAAGAAAACTGACTTCATCTTTAGTAGATATACAAATTTAAAATGCAAGGTCTCATGCAAACACATGAAAATAAATCTGATGAAAAGAGGACAGTTTTCAAAGAATCAAGAGTGATCAATGCTTAAATACAAACTAAATGTTGATTTTAAATGTTTAAGAGACTAAATATCAACTTACTCTGTATGAAGCTTTTTTTTCTCTGTCGAGTGGCTGAGTCACATAGAGATTCCCTGATAATCTTTCAACAGTGAAAATTCCCTTTGGGTCCTGATTTGCCCCTTCACCTGTGATGCTGTATTGCATTCGAGTTTCCAGGGCATAGTCGGACTTTATCTAAACACAGAAAGCAACAAGAGAACAACGTCAATGACAAACAAACCTCTCTCATTAGTCTAATTCTGAACAGTCCTTTCATGATTTCCACTCACCTGGACCAGCTTCATTGGGAACGGACCTCTGCTATTCTCGGGTACATTGAATGGCGGAATAACCCAACCTCTCTTTGCTCTCTTCAGACCCGTTGAAGACTTTAGAAAAGTCAGAACCTGATCAGAGGGCAATTCCATCTAAAAATATTAGATAAATGTGTTAGTAAGAGACAATAAACGACAAAACATTTGTTTACAATTAAAGACAGAACACTTATACTAGTGAACATGAAAAACAACATTTAGGCATTTGCTGATTACCGTGCGTGACTAAGGCAACTTGAAACTTCTGAATATCAAAATGTTTATTACAGCTACTGACTACTAAAATTGTTCTGGTAAAAACAGTATTAATATGTGGGGGAGTAAAATTTATGGGCCGCCATTTAATAAACCAATTTAGGGTAATTTGAGAACTCTTCATTTCCTGGCTGGATGTACATTATTCCACTTTATATAATAAATGGAGCAGAATACAGGAAAGTGTTGGAAATCCAAGGCATTAGGTTTTAGCACTGCATAAATTAAACATCTGCAGACGCATTTTGTTTTAGACCAATAGGCTAGAACAAATATACATCAGTATGGATAGAAAATTCAATGAATTCAACATCTTTAATAATAGGGTAAACGTACCTATTAAAGGGTTAGTTCACCCAAAAATTAAAATTAGGCTGCGTTTTACTTACCCCTGAGGCATCCTAGGTGTATATGACTTGTATACGTGTATATAATTTTTATTTTTGTGTGAACTAACCCTTTAAGCTCACGTACCCATTAAGCACACTACCATTTTTGAGCTCAGATTATAAAAAGAAAAAATCATGTATTATCCTACTTGATGTCTTAACCAATTTATGCGTTTGTTACTACATACCTCCTGAAATTTCAAGTCAATCAGACCATTGCACACTGAGATATGGCTATCCATGTGTTCACACTGTCTGGCGGCCATTTTGAAAGCGGTCTGAAAACTTTCACCAGAAGAGTGAAAATCTTTTTTTTTTTTTTTTTTTTTAGATTTTTAAGCCTTTTTTTTGTATAAGTTTCACTACTCACTGCAAAATTAAGAGATTAATGTTTAGACTTTTGCGTATTATAACCTGGAACTTGGATGTGGGAAATAATTACAGTTAGATCCAAAAGATAGTTTTAGCAACACAGCACAGAAGCTACAGAACACAGTTAGCTGACTAGCTGTATAAGATTGTGTGCTACACTAATATATTACTTCACAGGCATTACTGGCTTGTATTTTTAAATCTATTATATTATACATTTACAGTTTATCGCTGGTCTGTGGTTTTACGCTGCTGTAAGTTTTAAAGACTTCATATTATTGAAAGGTGAACTTAAAGGGTGCACTATTATGAAAATCACAGTTTCAGTGTGGCATCAATAAGAAAGTATAATTTCATAGATAGTCAATAATAGTTGTTCATATTACATTGTTTAAACTTAATACATGACCTAGATTTATTTAGCAAAATCTTGTCCTTTAAAATTTCATGCAATATTTATTAATTAAAACTTGTTGCTGCTCCAATTAAGCTCAGTGTGCTCCCTTTAAGCTCTTCCACATTGAACCTATGTAAATACGCCATAAACAGACTTTAAATATTAACTGATGGTTGTCACCAAGTTAATCTTTATAAAATTATTAATAACTTATTTTCACAGCTTTAAGGACAAAATCTAGATGTAACTATAGTTAATGCACAAAGATGAAAGAGGCATGTCCGTACAAAGAAAGAGCCAACAGAAACCGGTCCTATCGGTCCAGGAAAAATGTGACTAAAGGCTGGAATACACTACACAACTTAAAATTTGAACAGATTTTTAAAACGCCAGGCATCATTCACTTACTGACTTTGTAAATAGTCACAAAGGAAAACTGGGCATCATACACTAAACAACTGAGGATTATACATTACCAGACTTTCAAGTTGTTCCGATCACAACAAACGTGTGCATTGTTGCTAGGAGACGTATGACAAATGAAAACAATATGTTCTAAAATTAGTTGAAAATATCAAACATGTTTGATCTCCTCTGACTGAATGGAATCAAAGTCTGAAACAAAAAAAATCTGAATCTGTGATCCATCATATTACACGATTTTCTATGGAATCAGTCAACTCAAATCTGCAGACTGGCTCTGACCTTTGGCAACTAGCATCAACTTCAGACTGTAAATTTATGGAAAACCGGGGCAAAAATCGTTTAGTGTATTCCAGGCATAAGAGAATATAAAAAAAGTTAACATCCATTTAATAAGAGGCTTCATAATGAGGCTAGTTTATTGGTTTGTTTTGTTATTTGATTTTTGACGAGTGTTATTTGATCTTTAAAAAGGTTGTTTAAAATAAAAGATGTGAGCTTATTGGGAACAGGGGTGCTTAATGAGTTAATTTTTGTACCCTTTAAGCACATCCAGACTTTTTTCAATTAATGATGTACATCTTAATTGAAATGCTTTTGTCATTTAAAATACAATTAAATATTATTGTGTCAGAGATTCATATTTTAATATAACTTCTTGTTCTGAAACCGATATCTTTTGCACTAAAAATGTCCTAATGTAGATTTTGGTGAGCTTAATTGGTACGTTTATCCTAATTATAAACATTAACAGAAATTAATAACTAAATACATCAATTTAAAGTACCATGGTAAAGTACCATACATAAAAACTGAAGTGTTCAGTAGAGGTCAGGCTTGCACTGTATTGCACAGCAGTTTCTTGCATGAAATGTGTTTGTACCTCTGGAGAGGAGATGTTCATGACGGTATCCATGTGATGCCCCTTATGTTGGTGGATACGCTCAACTTTGACAGATACAGTGTGCTTCTTGCCACTGGAGTCCCAAGCGTGCACAGAAAACACCTTGTGGCCTTCATGAAGAGTCACTTGTCTCTTCAGAGTTACAGTCCCATCCGTGTTCACATCAAACCGCTTGTCAACGGATTGAAAGAGGGTTCTTGTTCTTCCATCGCAGTTATTGAAAGTTACTGAGGCAGGGTTAAAAAAAACAACAACATCAACAAACAAATTAGTTATTCCCAAGACTCAGAACTTTAGTAAAGTCAACCTCACTTTTTCACAACACTTTCAATTGATCAAATGTTTCAAACCAATAAACTAATAGATGTTGCTTTAAGCATGAGGGGAAGTAGCTTGCCAAGTTTGTTTTTCTACCCACAATATTGATCGTTTAAGTGATTAATTGATGGAGAAGGGTAGGGGGAGACCGGGGGGAGAGCTGAGCTCTCGTGCCTCCGTTGGAAAAATAAAATAGCCAATAACCATTGAGTATTCACTTTCAGTGCTGAGGAGTGTAGAGAAAAGAAACTTCGCAAGGGAGGCTAGCCTCCCTTCTGATATATCAACCAATCATCATAGAGATGTAAATTACGTGCTATTAGTTTGAATGTCTCCCGCTGCGCTGATAATGTACCAAGTACTTATGATGAGTAGCGATGAATATTTGATCGACAACAGATTTACCAAGCTGTCATTCAAACAGTATATATACAAATAAAAATAAATAAATAAATAAATAAAAGGGAAAACATGCCTAAGCTGGATATTGGCTACAGCAGTCGGCTTAATTAAATGGCACAACAGGCAGCTCTCTTTTAACACAGACTTTTAAGAAGGGATGGATGTTTGCTTCAAGTGAGAGGCCAGGTAAGTGAAATTATATTATCTTGCTGTATGCGTGTCGTTTTATTTACGTTTTCTGACTAAAAGCAACCAAAAAGCCATTTTAAAGTGGTTAAGCAAATAATAATAATAATCGGCAGGGATCTTAGACCAATACAATTAGTGTGCCTTCTCCATTTTAAAACCCACGAGCCGCCACTCATAGGCTACTTTAAAAAGAATACATTGATTAGCAATGGATTATAAATATACTTAATTATTATGAAAATACCAGAGATGGCTTGAATAACACAGATAAACTATATTGTCGCAGTCGAGTGTTTATTGTCCGTTTTATCATTCAAAACGTTTATATGTTCGGTTTACTCCGTTACAGCTATAATAGCAATGTCTTTGTCCATATAAGGGATTTCCCGCTACTTCTGTGACTGGATATGTGGATTTTCTGTGTGAGGGCACCCTCTGGCGTCCAGTATGAATGAAACAGACATCATGCGTTTATAACGCTAATGGCCAATCCATAATTTTTGGGAGAATTTTTATTTAATAAGTATCGGTTCAGGCATCGTTTAGGCACCGGAACAGTTTTAAAAGTATCGATTTGGCACCGGAATCGAGAAAAAAAAAAAAAACGATACCCAACCCTAGGTATAGCTAACAGGCATGCTTTATGTCCTAGATTTCTCAACTTCAGAATAATGCTGACTGTCAATCCTTTTACCAAAACTACATAGCATAATTCATTTAAACAAACACTATACACCCGTTATACAGAGGTTTTGCAACAGCAGTGTGGACATCCATTAGTGGTCTGAAAAGAAGTGTTGAAACCAATCAGCCTTTAGCCACCATTAGTGGGACATTGAAAGGATGCTCTCTTCAAAATGTACAGAAATAAACTACAGATCAATTGCAATAAGGAACCACTACTGGTAAAAATAAATAAATAAATAAAGGTTTTAAAAGGTTTTAAAACTTAGAGTTAGCCTAGTACGAAAGGATAAATCAGTATGGCAGCATGTGAGATGAGGGGATAAAATTCAAAAGTAAAATCATACACAATTTTTAACTGGCATGACTTCTGGAAAGTACCTGACTGAGGGGAAAAACAAAAGACATGACACTACTTGCAAAACAATTGCATTAAACAGAAATGTTAGAACCGTAAAATACAGATAATATGCAAATTTAAAACATTGAAAAGAAAAAGAAAAAAAAAGTGAAAGTGTTAAATTTGTTGGCCATCAGTCATTCTTGAGAAGTGGGACAAAACAGGGTGCAAAATTGAAAAGATAAAACCTTGTACTCTGACAAATGAAACTACATTTATGTATCTTATATGTACTAAGCTACTGAGCTATGCTTTGATACAACCTCCCAACTTTTCTCTTTTTTAACCAAATGTGCTTTTTTACCTTGGACTGTGTAATATAATTTCAACTTTATCTTTAACAGACAGCATTCAAGATGTTTTTAACATTTCAAAACACATTCTCGTGTTAGCAGACATATTACACTTTCACATGTGACCAACAATTCCACAACAAATATAAAATATCATAATGAAATATTATCAAAATATTCAACTGACGGAGGTGATAGAACTGACGGAGTTGACACATCTGACAGAGGTGACAAAAACCTGAATTTGTAATAATTTTAACTATCAAATACATTGAATCAGTCAATTACTGTATTAAAACAAACAACAAACAGTGAGTATGTTATTGTTTATAAAGCTTTTATTCAAGAGTCACATTTAAGTATTTTGATATATCATTGGAACACAATCTTATGGTGGTGACATCTGACGGTGTTGACAAATTTGGCATTTCTTTCACAAAACCAGTGGAGATCATGTAGTAGTTATTTTATTTTTTTCTGTTGATGCTAGATGCTAATGGAACCTGCTTCAGGTGAATAAAATTATCTAAATATTTCAAATAATTTCCTCAGAAATAGGAAGACGGTGTTGACATATCCTGACTGTGACAAAGGAGATATTAACATTAGGATTTAAAATATTCTAAAACTTAGCAGAGCCTGTCTGACACTGATGTACTCTGCAGATGTGAACTGTGGCAAGGGGGTCCTTTAGAGTGACAGCTGCCCCTGATATTATTACATTTTATTGAATGTCTGACGGTGTTGACAAAAAGCGGGGACGCAACTTTAAAATCTTATGAAACATGCATGCGTCATTAAAAAACAACAACCTTGCTTTGATAGGAGATATTATTAAGTGTTGCTTTTGATAAAACGAGCTCTTTTTCATAATTAAAAAAAACATTATCCATTTTATTGCATATGAATGATTGAAGCCTTCTCTGTGGACACACTGTTTTAGACGTAGTGAGAGGACATTAAGAAACACAGATTTGGTATAATAATGAGAAAATGTAATTGAAGGTGATAATTGTGTTAAATACATACTATTATTAATCCCTCATGACATTTAAAATTGAAAATATTTTTTATTTTTTTAAAGCTAATAGCAATTACCCTTGCTGGACCTGTTTTGTCCCACGTCTAAAGAATTGCTGGTCCCACACCCACAGAAAATCACTGGATGAAATCATCTGAATTAGTCACAACACCTGCCAAGTCTCTGAAATACCACGAATCAGTAAGAAAATTCGAAACACGAGCCTAAAAGTTAGCATAGAACACATTAATTAACTAGCCTATAACGTTAGCGTTTTTGAAACCGGCTGAGTTAGTGTACTTTGCTTGGTTTAGAAATATTTTAATACTTAAAATATTTTTAACAACGTTCAGTTGCTTTAGCATTTTAATGAGATTTGTGAAAACAGCCTAACGTTACCTCTTCCTAGTCTTTTTCCCATGTGAAGGTGATCTCTGTGCACTTTAAAAACGATTAGCTCCGACTCAAACCCAGGTGTGCATGTCGACTCCTCCGCATATCCACACGACAATACCTGACAAAACAAAACAAAACAAATGAGAAAGAAGCATAACAAATCGAAGACTTCATTTTCCGAAACTGCGTGTCAATGTTCGGCATGTTACTCGGCGATCCAAAAGAAAAAAAACTTACCTGACAAAGAAAAACGATAACTCCCAATCGTACAATCCTTGCACACGCCATTCGACACGCTAAAAGTCTTGTAAAATCCCTCTGCGTTTTAATCCTTCGAAGTCTTTAAAATGTAACACAACAGTTCCTTCCACCGTCTCAACAGCCGCAAATTGAGGATGGAAATGGTCTACACAGGTAGTCTATAGCTTTCTGATGCAGCCAGGTGACCTCGCCCATCCGGTAATTACCTTGTCCAAATATGGGTATGGATGACTTTTAGACACTCCTATAACACAGGTAAAAAAGGAAGATTTAGGTTTTCGAAAATCCCCGGATTAGTGAACAACGTGTGAAATATGGAACCTGAGACCAGTCGCTTCTCAAAACACCCTAGATAACATCCCACTCAATTCTTTAAAAGACTATGTGTGAACTCTGTGAGAACTCCATTCATGCCTTTAACACTGAAAAATCCCCATGACACAGGCTGTTTTGATGTTGAAATGGATTAGGAGTTATAAATCTGCTGGTGGATTTAAAGACTAGTTTTCTAAAACAGATAGATCAAAATATATCGTTCCTGTTCACAGGAAATTGTTTATAGACTGCACCTACAAACTGGAAACTATAATATGAAAAAATAACATGCTATTACAAATAAGCATAGTAAAATACCTTGTGTTTAGGCTTGACTCGGTGCAGTCTGCTCATATACAGTAGCTATAGTGCAGTCTTTTCCCAACGGATCCCATTCACATAATATGGCCATGTGAACTCATATCAGGACAATTTTAGTTTTAGCTTCCAGTAAGTCATATTGCACATCTTCCAAAGTTTACTCATTTGATCGGTATTTCTTGTAAACCCTGATGATTTACTTTAAGGCTAGTGATGCAATGATTATGACTTTCATAGTCATCGGGCCCGTTCCCCCCGACAATGTCACAATAACATCCCTAATAAGACCTAATTCTTGCTTTGTATTATATTATTGACCTTCATATTTTTGCTAATTTAACGGATTACTCGGATATCCATTAATTAAGTTTTGCAGGATGAATGATCATGACCTGTTTTTCTTCCGACATACAATACTAGGTCAAACTGTACTCAAGTTTGGTTCTTCTCACAAAACTCAAAAAAGAAAGTGAGCAGAGCTCATTAGCATTTAAAGGGACATGCCCCAAAATGAGTTGCTGTGAACAGAGCAAGGTAAAAAGGGAGTTGTTTTACATGCCCACTGAAGAATTTTAAACAAAGTATGTTGCAGACCGTTCATGAAGACCCTAAAGAATCATACCAACTTGTGGAAGATCAATGTCCCCTTTGAAGCACAGCCACCACAAAATCAGACTTACTTTGATATCATTCTGAGGTTAAATACATATTTAAAATCATAACAATAAATATTTTATTAGCTATGATACCGTTTATTAAATCAAATCTTTACATAGCTATGACAGTAAACACATATACATAAACCCATATAGGAAATAAAAAAGTTATCGAATAAGCATGTTCTAAACTCCTGAAACATTGGTGTTTCATATTTTAGAGCAGTCACTGCAATTTATGAAAGAAACTGTAACTGATTACAATTACTTTTATTTTGTAATTAAATTCCGTAATTCCGTTACACACTCTTCAAAATAAAGGTGCTTCACAATGCCATAGAAGAACCTTTTTGTCTAAATGGTTCCATAAAGAACCTTTAACATCTGAAGAACCTTTCTGTTTCACAAAAGGTTCTTTGTGTTCTTCAGATTATAAAAAGGTAAGAAAGAGATGGTTCTTTAAAGAACCATTGACTGAATGGTTCTTTGTGGAACCAAAAATGGTTCTTCTATGGCATCGCTTGAAGAACCTTTTGAAGAACCTTTATTTTTAAGAGTGCATGTAACTAGTTACTCCCCAACCCTGTATATATACAGTATATATATATATATATGTTTGTTAAAACAAATACAGTTTATAGTTTCAGTGTGGTTCTTCAGTGCACCATATGTGAATTCATTTATGAGCACCTAGGAAAAAAGACAATGAATATTTTATTAATCATTTGTTTGGAGTCTGCTTATCTCTGGCTGTAGATAAGCCCCAGAGGACAAATATTGCAGGAGAAAACATTATATTCTCTGAGTAGAATGTGACCGATGCCTGCATACCATTCCCAGACTGAGCCAAAGGCTGTTTGAGTGGTGTGACTTTTAGAAAGAGAGAGAAATAGTTTTTGGCATGGGAAACATTTTTGTTTGAAAATACATCTTCGCTTTGTCTTCACACTTTCTGTTTTTAGTTTGATTTAAGTTTGGTTAATAGTAGCTTTGGATTTGAATGTGTGCCTCATTGCCAACTTGATTTCAGTTTTTAGGCCATGACATTAGGTCTAAATATATGCAGTTATTTGGACTGGTTTGACTTTGTTTAGATGTATTGTACTATCAAAAATGTGTGTTGCTACAAATAATCAGTGCATATACCTAAAGTCTTAACATTTTATTTAAACATGAAAATGAATATGAAATTTTAGAAATTTGCAAAAAAAATAAAAAATTAATATGAATGAAATATCAAATCAAATATGTCAAATCATAACGATTCAAAATAAAAGCATTCTCACAAGGGCAGCCCATAGTATTTTAAGCTGAATCATTGCAATTGAAGAAGGGCTATTTGTTGAGTCGCTGTGCCACTAGTTTCATGTACATCCATAAATAGCATTCAGTGTGAAATCATTTACACTGGTTAATCTGCACAAGGTCAGCAGTGGAGGTCCTATATGATTACACAGTTCCATTTTTGTTCAAAAAGACGCTGTGCTCTGTCTGCCGGCCGCCAGTGGAAATGCTTTTTGCTTTTGTATCATTTACTGCTGTGCTCTGTTAGGAATAAAAAAAATTGCCTTTCAGTGTAAAGATAATTCATATTTTAAAACACTCCAAAAATGGCATTTGCAAGTGTAATCACTTCAACTGTTGACAGATTTGTTTTGAATATAACTAGAATTTTTCGGAAAAACTGTCTAAAGAGGAACGTTTGAATGTCCTCTGAGCTGTGTTATGTGCTTTTATCAAACAAGTTTGGAAATGTTTGGTGAGTGTTTAAAGCTGGGCGAGACACTATAAAAAAACTGTGGGGGGATGAGCTTATCTCGCTATGGAGAAACCAGCTCTGCATTACACTATCAAAGCCACTCATCCACTTCAAAGTGCTCTTCTTTGATACTATGACTCTTCCACCCAAATCAATATTTCCTGTGCGAATAATTACGAATGCTATTGTATGCTATTATGAGAGCTTTTAACCAGCGCATTGTACAATATGTTGCTTATTTGTTAATGGGTATGAACTCTAATAAACTTTGTCAACATGTACTCCAGCTCCAATGCTCTCTTCCTCCACTTCACAATGATTGCCCTCTCATGTCGATCAGCCTTAAAAGCCCATCATTATCCAACAAGGGCTTTTAGGCTCCATGAAATGTTTATGCTTGTACAACTTTCGGTATCACATTTGCTTGCGGTGTCATGTCCATAGTGTATCATGACTTGTCTTCCCAGATTTGGAAGAGAAAGCAGCTGCAATGCTGAACCGTTAGATAGCACCGTGGTTTCACAGCCATAGGACAAGACTGGTCTTGTGTTGCGCCGGGACTTTTGTTACTTAGTAATGCATAAGAGGACTTCCCATCTCCTACCGAGCCTTATAGCTAGAGGCATGTAGTTGTCTTGTGACTTAATGCCTCTGTAGACTAAATACCCTCCACCTGAGTCAATACTAGTCTGCTCAGGAGCGGAACAATCGTAGACAGTCTGACAGTGCAATTAACAAATAAGGAAGTAGAGCTGACGTTCAGACTTGCATTCAGGTAGTCTCGACAAAATCTTACTGGAAACGGGTGTGATGTCACAAGGCAGAAACTGAATATATAGGGCTGGCTGTCGGTTCTCAGGAACAGATTTTATGACATCAAGATATTTAGAGATAAGTAATTTGTTTCAGTTTCAAAATCATAGCAGACACTTTTATAATATCCTTGCGGTATGTAGTTTAAAGCTCCAAGTTTATTTGTCATATACACATTTGTGCAAGTGAAAGTAAGTAGTGAAATGACCCAGACTGCACAATAGCCATACACATAAATAGAGATACACTACACTACTTAAATTAAGATTTTTCTATTGTTTTTGAAAAACATCTTATATGCTCACCAAGGCTACATACTTTGATTAAAAATACAGTAAAAAACAGCTATGTAAAATAACTGTTCCCTTTCATGGGAACTTCGAACTGCGTCCTCTAGGGGTCGCTATGGGGGACACCTCGTCATGACCCGTGTCTGAAGCATACATTGAAAAAACACCAACTCGTTGGCCGGCGACAGCCATGACGTCACTACCGGTGCAACTATAGTATAAATAGGTGCCGGGAGCACACATCAATCTCTTCTTCGTCTTCACTGACTGTTTTGTTTGAAGCGTGCATTTCTGTGGTAAGAGCGATCTCTATTCATATCATTATGGTGAGCACTAGCAAAGCGTTTAAGGATGATTGCATCCGTGTTGACGTTGTTTAACATCTGATGACACACACGATCTATGCGTTATTTGTTTGGGCGAAGAGCACGCACGCGATGCCTCCGAGGGGGCAATCAGCGTGCATTTCGAGCTTTTTTCCAAGGAAAAAACTCCGCTCTCATTTGTCTCTCTTTTCGAGGAAAGAGGGGGAGCCATCTGCTTCCCGCGATTCAGTACCCGAGGGCAAAGAAGCTGAGGCTGAGCCTTCCCAATCCTCCTGCCCTGCGTATGATGAGCTTTTGGAAATTATGGATCGCGCCACGGCGAGGCTTTACTTGCCGTGAAGCGGGTAAACCTCCAGCTCAGGTGAGCCTTCCTTCCTGTTTCCATATAAAGATTGAGATGGAATGGAAGAGGCTGTTTTTTGTTTGCCAACATCGATGCGATGCGCGAAAGCGGTTATGAGAAGATGCCCCTATAGAGAGACGCTGGCCAGCTATCTCTCTATGTGTGAGACGTCCTCTAAGACTCCCCTCCTTGACATCTTGCTCGGAAGCCAGGGCATATGCAGCAGCAGCAGCAGCAGCAGCTGTCGCTTCATTGCACACGATGGTGATGCGCCAAGCATATCAGGCTGACCTGCTGAAATACCGGGATAGCGGCCTTCACGAAGTCCAGGTCTGAGCCCGAACAACCCAGGGGTCCTAGCCCGT